GGACAAGCATTATCCAAGGCATCGTGCCAGTTGCTGGTATGGTCTAACACATCTTTATTATGCAGTGTAATGTATTTGTGTTGGACAAAATACAGGTGTTGAGTTTTTTTTTAAATGTGCCAGTGTTAAAATCATGATTTCGCAGAAAGAGTCCCAAAAATACAGATGTACCAATTAGGTGTGGTAACATTAAATGGTATGACTGCTATTCCAGATACCATATTATTTGTAAGTCGAAAAACTTTATGTCACAAAGAGTGATTTCTTTGAGGTTAAACCCTTTGAGGAAGATAAACCCAGTGAATTTGGAAACAGTGCTTCATCTTAAGGGTCCGATATGCGTCAGGTTAACACCTCAGTCTGCAGTCTGGTATGTGAGTCTGCTTTATTTAATAAAATCTCCATCAGTATGAGAAAAACTAAAGCAATCAAGATAATCCAAATTGACTGGGACCTGATGGCATGATATAATTATTTAAGATGAATGTTTTCACGGCAGGTTAATCCAAAAAATATCTCTTTATTTAATAATGAAGTGACATTATCTTTGTTATCACGACGTGGTGATACAACGAAATCTATGAGCCCATAGTTATAACTGTGACCGTAATTGTACGATTTCATATTGTTGCAACAGTTAAAAAAAAAAAAAGTCATTTTGTGGCTGGTGTTTTTAATACAAATTATAACCAGTGAAGATGGAGGACAGCCACTAGAAAATATGATCCATGTGCCAAATTATGCACTTATTTTGACTGATAATAATGCTAACATCTGGTAAAAACGTGCATGGCCAGATATCAGTGCTGCAGCAGCAGTGCACAATGAGCCTTAAATGCTGTTTTTGCACTGCAGCTGTAAATCTCTAAAGCTGGCTGTTAGCCTGCATTCTCAGATATCTGTGCTCCGCTGGCTCTTTGATTATGCAAATAGTATGCGATATAAATAAATTAGTATAATTGCAGCTGAACTACGCTTTGAAACTTCCTGAAGATGAAAAGGTGTAAATAATGTATTTTGTGGCACTGCATTATTCATTTTCTATTAATTACAGACATCCTGACACTAACTCTTAAAAAATTTGGTACACATTGTGTTTAGGGTGGTTAGCAGCTTTAGCATTGCACACTTACACACACACACACACACAGAGACACACACACATACATACCACATGTGTCGCTGTGATATTTTAAAAGAAAGCACTGCATTATGTGGGGTCTGAGGAAAACATTAAATAAGCATAAATAGTGTCAACACCCGAAGTCCATAATTAAAATATGGCCATCTTTCTCCTCCCTGTTTTTGAGGCCCGGTTGCAATTTGAATACGGCGGACCATTTGAGAAATATATGCTGCCCGGCAATTAAATTATATGGGAGCTGGTACTAGTGCATATAGAATAGCGAGCAGGAGTTGCTGGACTCGCATTAGCATCTGGCCCTTTTATGTAAATTTGATGAGAATGGACTCATGCATATAAGCCAGGCCGGGGTGTACTTGCCTAATATCCTTATTAGAGAGGAGTGAATTAAATATTTATTTTGGGGGCCAAGGGGTAGGAAGGGTGGCCCTGTCCGGTGTTGTTGTGAGCATCAAAGGTGGAGGAAGGGGGAAACAGGAGGGGAAGGAGGAGGAGGTTGGCTTTCTGTACGAGTGTCTCTCTGCCTCTGCCTCAAGGTGCCACCATCTTAACGCGTTTGGCAGTAGTCGGAGTGTGAGGAGGGTAGACTTAAAATGTCCGCTGGCAAAGACACGTGCACACATGCACATTAGCGTATACAAATGTGTGCATGTGATGCCGACGAGGGCCACGGAAGCTCTGCGAAGTCAATTATTCAGTTACTGTCAGCAGTCATGCATGCTGAGGATTTCATTTGCATGAATTAATTTCCTCGATTACAGGGAGAACCTACAAGGTCGACCGCCGTTTTATTTTTCTGCTGAACTCAATTCATTTAAACAATGGTGCTGTAATTAGCTAAAAGTGGCATTTGCTAATGTGCAAATAATTTCAATATTTATGGTGTAATTTAGGCCTACTCTGTGGATATATTATATAATTAAATACACATTACATACACATGAATTCTTTTTTTTAATCAAATCTATTTCTAGTTATCCTTAGTTTCAAACAGTCAATTCAATTAGTTTAGGGTATATTTGCAGCCGATAGGTGACCTGACTATTAACAATTATTTTAGCTTAGCGACAACCTGGAAATTCTGTGCACAAACATATATTAAAAAACATGACAATTTAAATACTGTGGATCAAAGAAAGGTAGAATTTATCGGCAATATCGTCACGTTATGTAAATTTGAGCCAACATTTTTCTGTCTCTTCTTCTATTCACTGCCACTGTTACCTACACACACTGTAGCTGACCTCTCCTAGCTGTTAATTATCATAAATGTGTTTAGTTAAGTGATGCACGCACACACAACCGTACACACACACACACGTTGGGTGCACAAACACTCACTGCTTTGTGAGGTACAGACAGAGCATTAGCATTCCCTTTCATCCTGAAGTGCTCCTGTGGCAAAGCAAGAAGAAGAATGCGCAGGCAATTATTCAGGATGAATTATACCACACACATCATCTCCATTTTTCGTGCATCAGCACACACCTGCACTCCTTCTCCATCTTTCTATGTAAACACAAACACACAAACACACACACACACACACACTGGTTGGGGGTAAATTAAATATCATGCGTTTGTAGTCAAAATTAGAGGTTCAGTAAAAATTGCTCATTGATGTGTAATTTTGTTGATGTAGACGTTTCCCTGCAGCACATCATCTAAAAGCCATTGTGCGTCCACGTGTCTGTGAAAATTACGGTGTGTTCCCTCGCATATGTATACAACATCAGCTGTCCTTCCTCTGTGTTTTTTCTGATGAGTGTTACACCTCAGCGTGCTGCCAAAGAAGTGGGAGTAATTAAACGGCTGCATGTTTGAGCCTGGACCAGGCTAATGGATTGTTACCGGTAAGAAATGAGACAGGCAGCATGCAGGGGGATGAAACGGAGAGGAGGCGAGTGCCAGAGCTGAGCTCGCCTTTGGATAATGAAACACTTTAAGCCACTGGGGTGGCGAAGAGACACACCTCCCATAAAGGAAATGCTTTTGTTTCATGACTGCTCTTTAGTGTCATGTAAGAAGGTGCAGTGCTGAGGAGTCACATGAAGTGACATCCACATTATGTCAGGGAAAATTAAGTTTTCCCAGCTCTACTTTTTCCTTATGCTTTAAACAGGTTCAGCTAAAATATTTATTTTTCCTTTCTCTATAATATTCCCCATAGGGGTCTGCATACTGTTTATTACTCCTAATGTTACCTCACATTGTAGTAAATTGCATGTGATGAATACACAGTACATACAGTCTATCTGAATACATTTATGCCTCCACTGCATCACCTCCACACAAACTAAAGCGTTTTTTGGCAGTGTTGTTGCCAGTGGAGCTCACTACCCACCCTACCTCCCATCCCCCATACTTAATACCATCAACCCAGCCACCTCTACACATGCATGGAAGAAGGGTAGAACGAGGGAGTGGAGTGGAGGTAGTAGGTGGAGGAGAAGGGAAGTAGGATGAGACAAGCCACACCAGCCGCAAAGGGAACTATGTGCAGGGCTTGGGGTGCGTTATAGTTATCCTAAACCCTGCCATACGGCTAGAAGCTCACACTAAAACATACACACACACACGTTGATCTGCCACTGAGCCACAGGCTGGTTTACAACTATGTGGAACATTACAATAGGGACTATGTGAATATGAAGCATGAGAACAGATCATTCTTTGGTTCTTCTTATATGTTCTGTTTTTCATTTTCTGCAAATCTGTATATTATGTGTTCATTTTCAAGCTGGTATATTTTTTGTATTTATGTGAACAAACATTAATAAAATTGAGAAAAGGAATTTTGTGTTTGTGTGTTTATTACTCTCTGATGAATGTGAAATGTCAGAATAAACTCACAGTGACTCATAACAGATATTCAGAAAGAGAATACTGTACATTATTACAATCTAAAAGTACATGAGAACATATTCTAACTTACATTGTGTGTGAATTGAAGCTCCATTTATAATATTTTACCACACACAACTACATTAGCCACGATTTTCTCTTTAGGATGAAACCAAATGAAGGGCAAATGATCTTTAAAGGTTTCCAGATTTTTATCAAAAGTATTGTTTTAAATGCTCAATACGTTTTTTAACAATGACAATTTTAAGGTACGCTTTCTATAAAATGATTGCCTGATGACAGACGAGCGAATTCCCCCCTAAGCTAATCATTTAATGCTTTTAATGACAAAAAAAATAAAAAACAAATGTATCTTGTCTCCTCTATGGAGGTGGCCGTGTTAAATCACCTTGTTGTCATTACAACTACAGTTAGCTCATAGTAAACATATCAATATTCTTTTATTTTCATAAAACAAGACATTGTTCTCAAATCATTGAGAACAGATACAATCTCAAACAATTCCCAATCTCAAATGTCATTATTAAATTATGTTCTACTGAATGTTAGTAAATCCTCTTTAAATCTTCAAGTATGTAGAATGTCACCACATTTAGGCAACAGATCAATATTCTGTTCTACTACAATCAATTATGGTTGCCTTTGACCTTAATGGACTTCTTGTAGGACTTCTTATGGCCATGACATATGACACTTGACCTGTTGTCGTGAGGCCAGGCAGAAGTCAAGTGTGTCTGCCTTCAACAACAAAGCTACTAATGCAATTTAAAATTGGCCCAATACAGGAATAAGAAAATCTAATCGGGGAGAGTTTTTAACGCATGGTGATATTATTCTGTAAAGGTCACAATGAAGGCGTTTGTACAAAGGCAAAGCCAGTGTATACAATCCTTTGTTATACTTTTGTTTGTTTTTGTGTCGTTTATATTTTAACCAGAAAGACTCAATATACTGACTACTCTGCCTGTGTGTTTGTTTCCTAATGCTGCAGTGATGGAGATAGATAGCAGTGATGGACTACAGGTAGCACACTATGTTGGTCAACACTGGACCTCTTGGATATTGCAATTGACTGGACCCACGTAAGGTGAGCTTAATTATCAAGGATTTATTAAT